AAAAATGCACTTAAGTCCCTGCGATTTAACCTGGAAAGTGACGAATTCAAGTGAATATTGGAGGCCCAATTGCACATTCAAAGCCCATTTGCTTTACCCTAATTTCCATTATATAATCACCTTCTTTTCACACAAACCAGGGGGAGGAGAAAAGAAGAGAGAAAAAAAACCTTGCCACAACACTGTTAGAATATCAAACTCTTTCAAGAATCCTAAAACCTTGAAATCCTTATTACAAATCCCTCTCTCACTACAAACAAGCCATCACAGTTACAAACCAATACCTCACTACTTCTTTAGTAAGGATAAGGCTGGCTTGATCTCCATGATCCTAATTTTCCAGTAAGGCATAAAAGCATTCAGGTCACTAATTTTCCAGTAAGGGTAAGATTAATTTGATCTCCATGATCAAAAGGGTATAATCATTCATACATGCCATATTGTGCCTAAACATTAAATTTCTTCATATATTGGCTTTATTTTCATTTTACGATTTTATTTAATGTTTTCATGAGATTCAACACTGCAGATTTAGACAAGATCCCATGCAGGTTCATTAAGGAACGTTGAGGCCAAAACACAAATGGCCAAAAGCCAAAAGCCAAATGGCCAAAGTAGAACAACTTATGCATGATGAGGCCATAACACAAATGGTCAAACCACTCCAATTCACCTCCAAAAAGGGCCAGACACCCCCCATGATTTGCATCATTTTTATTTTTTATTTGATTTTTCTTTTTCATTCTTTTAATTGTTTTAATTGTTTTCTTTAAATTCATGAATTAATTTTTATAATATAAAACCAGAAAATCAAAAACTAAGAATATGTTAATTAATTTACTTATTAAATATTTTTGTAAATAAATGTTAAATAATTAATTTAGTTAAATTAGGTTTTAAAACTTAAGTCTTTTTCTTAACAAATTAAAATATGTAGAAATTAGGGTTTTTAACTTTTCATCATCTTTTTAATAAATAATTTTTTCTTATTATTATTGTTATTAATTATTAAATATTTTTGTAAATAAACATGTACATTAAATATTTAGTAAATTAGGTTAAACTTTAACATTTTCATTAATAATTACAAAAACTTAGAATTAGAGTTTCTTTTAATTTTAATTTTCTTTATTTCATAAATACAAAAAAACTAAAAAACATCTCTTTCCTTTTATTAAATAATTAATTAGCTTTTTAATTTCATTAAATTTCTTTAAAGGGTCCAACGCCCTCGAACGTTCTATTTTTATTTCTTTCGCACATTTATTTTCTTTCAAATATTATGTAATTGCTCAAGCCATGTAACTCAGACATTTTATATTTCCCGCATTTTATTTCTTTATTTTATGTCAAATCGGGTCCTGGTTTAATTTGGCGATGTGGACCCGCGCCTTTGTAATAGTTTAGGAACTTTATATTTCTCGCAATTTTTAACTATTAATAATGACATGCAAGAATGAATGATAAAATAAAAACAAACGCATAGATCACTTTGACAAAAGACAAAAATAAATGAAAACGACACACAAATCACACACCACCCCTAGGGTACGCCTCACTGTTGCCTTGCCTCGAAAGGTGATCGTCGAGTAGAGGATGTCTTAGTAAGTCCTCATGATCCGGAAACCTGGCATGAGGGTAGCTTCTAAGGTGTCTTCCCATTGCTCTGGTGATCACCATGTCCCGAACCTCGAATTGACCCGAACACCTCCAACAGTGGTGCTACCTACCTCTCAATGGTGGGATGACACTACTTTAAAGGACATTTACACAGACGAATTCCTTAGGGTAGGTAGACGACTCGTGGATACTTGCTCTAATTCAAAACAAAACAAATCAAAAATACTTTTCACACCAACACATTTTCAAAAAGCTTTCGAAAGTATTTTTTAAACACTCTTGAGGACCGATACAAGAGTCGAACTGAAATTTTCAAAGAAACTTTTTAAAACCCACAGTTGAAAAGCAAACAAACCATTTTTGAAAACACAAGTGAGCAAGTATCTAAGAGCCCATGGATAACCATGGATAGAAAGGGTGCTAACACCTTCCCTTTCTATAATCTACCTCCCGAACCGAGAGCAATCTCTATAAGGAATTTTTCTGTGCTTTTGTCCTTTCCATTTGGAGAAAATAAAAGACGGTGGCGACTCTTGCTTCTGCGACATTTCGCGAACCAGCGTTAAACAGTCAGTTCCAGATCCACCGATCACAGTTGAGTTGACTTTTCCTGCAAAACCATAATTTAGCAACTTTTAAGTTTTGATGAATTGTGAGCAATCCTTGAGGAATCATTATCAAACCTTGATCAAATGATGAATAATGATTCAAAATGAGAATTTTGACCAAAAATCTTGAAGTTTGACTGTATGTGGGCCACAGTTGACTTTTGCCCTAGCACAGTCAATTTTCAGGCCTTTGAGCAATTGGCTGAGCAAACTTCCTCTGCAAGGCTTGAAACTTGACATGAATGGTCTTGAGAACATATTAGGATAATAGTGAGCATTTGAGACCCTTTGGACTTAAGTATCTTGATGCAATATGAAACCCTAATTTGAGGTAGATTGCCTTAGGAGAGAGTTTGTCTGGTCAACTCTTGGACTTCCTTGAGCAATTTGAGGATCTCACTTGAAATGTATTGAGAAATATGGGAGGGCAAATTTTGGGGTACAACACTATCGAATTATTGAACCAAGAAGCCACCCTTCGACCATACTAGAGTTTGATCCAATATTTCACAGTTCTTAGAAGTAAAATTTGCAAGTGGGATAATGAAAAAAAAGTTAAGCAGCTTGATGAATTCTGGATGAGGCAAAATTATATTTTCAAATGTTCTAGAATCATTAAACATTTTGTATTTGGAGACATATTAGTGAATATCCAGACATTTCAGCAAATGTTGCATTTTTTATTTTTGAACGCCTTATAAATTTATTGTATACGTGACATATCTTATACACTTGCTTGATATTTGTCACCTTGTTTGACCAATGATGAGATTATTTTAGAAGGACTATTAATTATCATTTCACCGATAAGTTTTTTGTCTTCAATATTTAAATAACTGACAACAAAATAATCTAATAACTTTGGAGTCATCCCATGAATGTGTTTTTCGCGTACAACAAGATTCTAAATATATATACACAAGAAATGTCTACACAACTTGATTGTACACTCATATTTCTTCGATCTTTGTTACCACATTTCAACTTTTCATTTATTCTTAGTACACATCACCAATCTCACAATCCAATATATACTTTTTCTTTGATTAAAACCAAAACAATCACTAGAAATAACTTTAGCAAAACATAACTTAATTGCCTCATGATGAATCCAATCTAACAAATTATCTAGTGAAAAAAATCTTTTTAGTTTATTTTTTCCTAAAATGAAGTTTCTTAAATTAGTTTAACAATATCCGATCTCAAATCTATTTGAATTCTCCCATAAATTAAATGCAATCATGAAATTAAAAATAAAACACTTATCAGATGGACCTTTCTATAATTGATTTTCCATCGTATTTGACTTCAAAAGAATTTTACAATGCTATTTTAAAGTTGATATACAAATAAATGATTAAAAGTTGCTTAAATTTTCTTTGAGACAAAAATGAAGTTGAATAAGTATGAATAACCATTCGTCTCATACCCAATAACAACTTGCAAAAATATCTTCACTAGATAGAATAAAAATCTACAAAATAAATACGAATATGGACATAAACAATTATCCCTCCTGCTTGTATCCGCATGATATATATATATATATATATATATATATATATATATATATATATATATATATATATATATATATATATATATATATATATATATATATATATATATATATATATATATATATATATATATATATATATATATATATATATATATATATATATATATATATATATATAAACATTAGTTTATTTTATACTTCAACAATAAAATATTTTTTTTTTTATAATATTGCTTAAAACTTAAAATTATATTATGTTTTATAATTAATCAATTTATTTTTATTAAAAATACAAGGATATGTACTTAAATACTCATATGGTATATACACGACTATAAAGGTTAGTAGAACTGGTCTTGGGTCGGAGAATCAGACTTATAGTCTAAAACCTCCGAACCTCAAAATATTTTTTAATACATTATAAATTTAAAATAAATATATAAATATTAATTATTGAGTTTAATATATAATAAAATATAGGTAATATAGTGATAAAGAAGCTTAATTTTAACTAAAACGTCAACATTTCGATCCCTAATACCTACACTTTTATTATTTAAATTCATTTTTTTTACAAAAATGTGTCAAATATTACTCTTCTATTGAGCCATTTTAAAAGTGAACTCAGACTCCAAATTTTTGGAAACGATCCTGAACTTTTATTATTTAAATTCATTTTTTTTTACAAAAATGTGTCAAATATTACTTTTCTATTGGGCCATTTTAAAAGTGAACTCAGACTCCAAATTTTTGGAAACGATCCTGAAGATTAACGATCATGCGGGTATAATTTTTTTTTCAACCTGCATATATGAAGATATGTAGATGAATTATATTATTGTTGATTAAAAATTAAATTTTGTGAATAAACAATTATATTTTTTGAATGAGTTTGAGTAAACATGTTTATAAAATTTTAAAAGTTTAAAAAATTTGATATTGATTATACACATGTCTATCAATTTTTTTATAAAAGAGCATCCAAAACATCCTTTAAATAAAGGGTAAAAATGAAAATCAAGAGGACTTTGAACATATTGGAGGATGGAGTATGAATTTCTCTAGCAAAAAAAAAAGTTGTGAAAAGTAGGCCCAAGCCCTACTTGAGTAACGGTTAGCCCATTTTCTCTTTAGTATACTCAGTGTAGCCTTTTGGCCCATTTTCTAGTGCATTCTTTACACTTCACAAGTTTCCGTGCTCAAAAATCTCAGTTTCTCTCGTGTGGTCGTTGCAAACCCTAGATCGAATAATGTCGGGAGGGTACGGTCATGATGGCGGAGGCGGTTCTGCGCCATCGTCGTATGGAGCTAGTGGTGGATACGGTTCAACCGGTAGTTACGGAGGTGGTGGAGGTGGAAGTGGCGGAAATTATGGAGGAGGTGTAGGTGGTGGAGGTGGAGGTGGGGGGAATTATGGAGGAGGCAGCGCTGGTGGTTATGGCGGAAATGAAAGCGGCGGAGGTTATGGAGGGAAAGGTAGCGGAAACGGAGGCGGCGGTGGATATGGAGGTGGCGATGGGGTAGGTGGAGGATATGGCGGAAGGAGTGGATACGGGGGAAACGATGGCGGAGGATATGGTGGAAGAGGCGGCGGTGGCAGTAGGGGAAGTGGTGGATATGGAGGTCGAGGTTTGTAATTTTGGTCTATCATTTCTTATTGCGTTTTTTGTTTATTCTCAATTTCATGAACCTTAATTGATGTCAACTTAAGCAGGTGGTGGTGGTGGATTTCAAGGTGGAGATCGTGGTGGCAGAGGTGGAGGTGGTGGTGGTGGTGGTCGTGGCGGCCGTGGTGGAGGTGGAAGTGGCAGAGATGGAGATTGGCGTTGCCCTAATGAAAGGTATGTTATTTGCTTTGGAGGATAATTTTCTGTTTTTAATTCAAATATACTTATGTTAATTGTTAGGTTTTCATATGATTCTGAATTGTTATGTATTTTTATTTTTATTGCTATATTATTTGTTATGTATAGTTGTGGGAACGTGAACTTTGCCAGAAGAAATGAGTGTAACAAGTGCGGCGCCCCATGTCCTACAAGTGGTAATGACCGCGGTGGCGGTGGTGGTAGTGGAGGATATAATAGAGGAGGAAGTGGAGGGGGATATGGAAGTAACCAAGGGGGTAGATCTGGGAACTATGATGGAGGTAGAACTAATGACTATAATGGTGGAAGGAGTAGTAACAATGATGGCCGAGGTGGAGGGAGCAATAGGGGTGGCTCATACGGTGGTAATCAAGGCAGAGACGATGGGGGCTATGGTCAAGCTCCTCCTGCTGCTGCTGCTCAGTCTTATGGTGGTGGTGGAAACTACCCTCCTACTTATGGTGGGAATGCAAATTATGGAACAGATGCTGTTCCTCCACCTACAAGCTATACTGGTGGGCCTAATTCATATCCTCCTTCATATGGAGGCAACACTGGTGGTTATGGTGGAGATAATCAAGGTGATGCACGGAGTGGTGGTAGGGGTGCACCTCCAGCTGGATACGACAGTGGTAATCGTGGTGGAGCTCCTGCCGAGTCAGCAGCTCCGGTGAAGCAGTGCGATAAGAATTGTGGGGATACATGTGACAACTCTAGAATCTACATCTCAAACTTACCACCTGATGTGACTGTTGATGAATTGCAACAGCTTTTTGGAGGCATTGGACAAGTATGTTCTGATCATTTGACTTTTGCACTTTTTAGCTGTCTCAGTTTTCTATCATGAATATTTCATGTGGAAGTACACCTTTAAGAGTAAATTCATATTTTTCATTTTGAGGCATAACCATATTATTGAGGTACATATTGAATTGCACTTTGTGTAAGTAATGCAACTCTGTTGTAATGGTGGAAATAGTTTTTTTTATTCTCTATGTGGAGAATCAGAGGCTTCAGCATTCTAGACATTTAGTTACACGTGTTTTAACTGCCTAGGTTGGAAGAATTAAGCAGAAGAGGGGTTATAAAGATCAATGGCCTTACAACATAAAGATTTACACTGATGAAAATGGAAAAAACAAGGGTGATGCATGCCTTGCTTATGAGGATCCCTTTGCAGCTCACTCTGCTGGAGGTTTTTACAACGGTACTATTTGAACCACCTTTTTTTCTGCTATATAGTGAACTTAATGATATAATTTCTTGTATTTATATCAACTAATCATGAATCTGCAATTTCAGAATATGATTTGAGGGGTTACAAAATCAGTGTTGCGATGGCAGAGAAATCTGCACCAAGGGCTCCACAAGCAAATAACCATGGGTATGCATTACTCAAAGAATCTATGTGTTACAGGATGAATGATATGCTAATGTGGTAGATTAGGTTTGAAAACCTGGGCTATGTATTATAATACTTCTAATGTCTCCACCCATTCAATCTCTATGTACATCGTCTATTCTTCTCTTTATATTTTTAAGCTTAAATGTCATAGTTGGAGACTGTTGAGCTCATATACTTCCAATCTTTTCATCACCATCATAACCACCAAAGCCTTATCCCACTAAGTGGGGCCACCTACATGGATCAACTTTTGCCATAATGTTCTATCCGTAACCATCATAACAACAATGAAAATTATAAATCATTATCAAATTTAATTTTACATTTGATTCAATATGAATTTTTGTACTTTTTACAACTTTTTCGTATTTATTGTCTTGTTATACTGATGACATAATTCAACTGACCATGTTTATATATTTACATATTTATAGTCTTATACATGATAATTCTATTTTTCTTTTGAAGTTTGTTTTAATTGTTGTTCTTGTTTTGTATTTTTTTTAGAGGCAATAGGGGTGGCTATGGTGGAGATAGGCGCAGAGACAATTCTGGCCCTGATCGACGTGATCATTATAGTGGGAATCGTTCACGCCCGTACTAGAGATTTGTCATTGAACATTTTATGTATACTGTGGTCTGAGGGATTTATTATTTCAGTTGGCTGGTTTCTTGAAATGGATGCTAAGAGGTAGGTTGTTCGCTTACTTTGAGCAAGACCTCTTCGCTCCTTCTGCTTTTTTGTTTGTTAGTTGGGGGTTGACTTTTTAGTTGGGGATTAATTTGATTATATGAATGTTTTTATAGAGGCATGTGGATAGTCTCCAAATAATCGCTGCTAAAGTAGGTTGATTGTTTCAGGTGAGTGCTGCTTTCATGAAAACATGCTTTATACTTGCTTGATATTAAACCATATGTCATTATGTGGATAAATGCTTGCATCCCTGGCTCATCCCATGTGGCATCTGGTACAAGCAGGTGATTGCATTAATGAATAGAATATTGTATATCAGTCATATTTTGATGGATCAATTATCCCATTTAGTGTCATTCATGTGCAATTTGTTTTGCTAGGATATTAGTTATTCTGCCGTATCTTCAAAATCATACACAATCGTTTCATTATAAGTTCTATGATGATGTTCTGTTGAAAAGCAAGGCATTATAATTTCCATAAGTCTTGTATTGTTCTAAACTTGGTCAATGTTGACAAGTTTTGACACTTTTTGAATTGGCTGTCAAGCTACTCAAGGTTAACTTATATGTTGCGGATAAGCTAATTTTATGCATCATACATCTGGCTTTATCAGTCAGGGTTCTTTCATGTTTTGAGAAGCAATTTTATTACCAATTTTAGCAACAAATTTGAACTAGTCGCCTTTAATAAAAAACTTCCATTTTTGTGATAATAAATATAATTTGACTAGTTAAGGTGGTTGGTGTATCCCAAAAAACATAATATTTTTTGTTATTCCTTTTTTGTAGTTGAAAAACTTAATTTTTTTGGAGGTGATTAGAATTTGGGTTTTGAATTTTTGTTTTTCAGACAACATAGTTACTTTGCTAAATATATTTTTTAAGGAATACTCATAAGAACTATGGAGTAAAAGAAATGGAATGATTGCTAGTTTTAGTGTTGTGTCTTATTCCTGTTCTCACATTATTAGGAGCTATTGTTGTGTCTTAGTTTAGGGCCACTTTTACCTGCAGTCAAATGGAGTATTAACTTATTCATGCATTCCATGCATTAATGGGTGTTATATTGAGATAAAACATCTCTGGCTTTAGGCCATGTTTTTAAATTTCGATTGGCTTAATGTTAATTTTTCTTTCCTTCAAATTTTTGCGTTGTTTTAATATCTGTTATTATTTTTATTGGCTCATTGGAATCGTTTGGGTTCTTTTGATCTGTAATTTTTAGTATTATAGCTAATAATAATTATTATTATCAAGATCTTTATTATTTTAAAGCAATGAGTGTTATTCTTGTGACCTATATAAGGTAACCTATCCGTTGGTGCTTTCCACCTGCCTCCACTTTCTTGTGTCCTGCCACTGAGTACCATTCTTCTTGAAGCTTTTGTCATTATTTCCCACACATTAATCCTGACATCAACTGCAAGCAGAATTTTCTTTCATGGGTTGGGAAGCGGTAGATTTGTTATCTTTAATTTCATTGGTTTTTTCATTTTGGACGGTAGACTTGTTATCTTTAATTTCATTGGTTTTTTCATTTTGGTCCAGATTCACTCTGTTGATTGATGATTTAGGTGGCTCAATGTTTAATTGCTTTTTTCAGTGTCCACCATAAATATGGTTTATCACATTAAGTAGTAATTGTCAATCGCCAAATGTTCTTTTTCTAGCTGTTCTTTTTTTAAATCTTAGTGCTGTGTGTATACCTTATATGATAGTTTTATTTTTTATTGTTATAGTACAACGACTTTGTTGTAGATTGTCTGATGGGCAAGATGTATTGCAATATTACAATAATTTGGCAAACCGCCGTTGAGCTTGTGTATTATAAGATGACAATTATTAAAAAACAAAGAATTTAATTGAAATACGTCAATGGAGTAAAGAAATTTTACAATGATAATTAATCACACAATCCTTGATTAAGTTGAGATGTTTGATTTTTACTTTAATTGAATGCTTTTTTTCAAAACTTGTGTAAAAATCTTTATAATTTTTATATTAAAATGATGGTTTTGGTTTTGAATAAAGCGTCAAACTTTTTTACTCTTAATTTACTTGTTATTGTTTTTGAAGGATTGTGGAAGGTCAATACTCAACCACGTCCTAGATCAGCAAATAAACTTGAGGTGCCTAATCTTTTATTTAACTGACTTGTAGAATGGCCTTAAGTTTTCAAATAAACTTTCACGCAACATGCATACTCATTCTCACTTGTAGAATGACCTTAAGTTTTCAAATAAACTTTCACACAACATGCATACTCATTCTCCTGCTTAAAATCCACTCAAGAAGAAAATTTTTCCACATACGGTGTTTGTGATCTTATCGGTTAATTAGAACTTAAAAGTGAGTCGAAGAGATGACATATGCGTGGCTGAAAGTAATGGAGAGGAGGGGGTGTACCTGCAAGGTATTTTGATGATCAAGTAAAAAAGGGTGCAAAGAGATACAAGAGTGAGATTAAAATTTTTAGAGTGAATATTTGATATTTGATCTTCATAAGTGTGAGATTTATATAGTGTCTCTGATGTTTGGTCATTGGTTCCTGTTTTTGAGCATGTAAATTAGGTTCCTAAAAATAGGTAATTATCAGGAACTAGCAGTTGTGTCGATCAGAGGTGCTTGTAACTAGCCGTTACAACGAGCAGAGAAATGTCTTACAGGCAGGCGTGATTTCTGGTCGTTTCTGGGTGACTATTTTTATGCGGTCAGGTAGGATGAGGAATATCTTGTTTGAGCGGGCATGAGTAATCAGGGAGATCCTGGTGGTCAGGACTCCTTGATTAATGAGCAGAAGGGATAAGACGTCTTTTATCTTTCATGTCATATTGGATCAAAGTCATAAAGCCGTTCTACATGCAGAAGTAGATTGGGTCAAACTTAGACGTTGGACCAATCTAAAATAGATACATGAAGATGAATTTATCGATTTTGTTTAACCTATTTTTAAAATGATTTTATGTTTTTGTTTGAAAATTTTACTAAGATTTAAAAAAAAGTTTTAATAAACAAATTGAGGGTAGTTATTTTTAAAATATTATTTTTAAATATTTCATTAAAAAAATTACTTAAAAAATTATTACTTTGATTATGTTATAATTTTTTTACAAGATATTAAAAATGTTTTTTCAATTAAAAAGATATCTATTTAATTATTTAAAAATATTTTATAAAAGTCATTTTTAAAAATAATTTTTTAAGTCTAAAATAGATGCTATATTTTGTTGTTTTTGATATTAACATGATAAATGTCATACTCAATTAATATAACAATGATAATTTTTTTTGGGTTTTTTTCATGCACCCTTACGTCTTAAAAGTTTTTGGCGAAATTTTCGTAATATTTCTTAAATTTAGATATGCATATCCGAACAAATCAAATATTTTATTTTTAAGGGGTTTTCGGATATGCATGTCCGAAAAAAATCAGTTATTTCATTTTCAGAGGATTTTTGAATACACATATCCGAATAAATCCTTTAATTTAAGTACACAAGGTTTTCAGATATGCATATCTGAATTGTATTAATATACACAAAATTTTGAAATAGAATATGTCTTTCTTATTTCTATCTATATTCGACTCTCTGTATTCCAACTCTCTCTATTTCAACTCTTTTTTTTTGCAATCTTTGAGCAATACTTTCAACTCATTTCAAGAACAAACTACATTTTCAAGAAGCAAAACCCATTTTCAACAACATTTCAAAGCTTCAAATTTGAGTAAGTTTTTTCGAATCCATTGTTCTGCTTTACAAATCTAAATTATGTTATTTAGAATCATGTAAATTGAGTAAGTTGAAGTATAATTTGTGAAATGTGGTTGTTTGGTTGTGGAAGAGAAGTTTTAAGGTGATTTAGGGCAAGAAGCTTCAACTGGTTCGTAAATGGCTGTCGCAGGTTATTTTGGATATCCATATCTGAAAACTCTTCCAAGTGGTTTCAGATATGCACATACGAAATTAAGCCTGAGTTTTTTTTTAAAAAGTTTTTCAACCTTGTTCAAACTTGTTCCTTCATTAAGTAATTGTTATTTTTTCCAGGATAATGACTGAAAACCCGAATGTCATATTGAGACTCGGTAGATCAAGCCAGACTGCTTCACTCGGTGTAAGAGAGCTGAGCAGACTACTAGTATTCGAGGACGGGGTCGGGTACCGCGAGAGGAAGTGGCAGGAGGATCGACTTCAGCTCCGAGGAGTCTCCTGTCTCATGCTTCTTTGTCTCAGGATAATGAGCTGGTACCTGAGGAGGTTGATGTTCGGACACAGGAGCCCGAGGAAGTTGATTCACCAGCTGTAGTCTACATGCAGTAATGGGGCAGCAAAACCAGGGGTATCCAGGAGGGCCCTCTGGTACCTCCCTATTGATCTATTATACTGATCATGTCGCTCCACATATTTGGAATGAAGAGGTATATATTTTATTACACTTTTTCATTTAAAAGATTTACGCACAAAGATCTTAACGACTAACATTGGCATTTTTTAAAACATAAACGCCTACCTATAAAGCCCGTGAACCACGCGTAAAAAATATATGAGTTACATCATCCCAATGCAGATTGGTTCACGGAGGCCGTTCTTGGCTCCAGACTTGTCGGACTTTGTTGTTGCAGTTACAATACTATTAGTCAGGGCATGCAATGAGCATTTGTCAAGAGATGGCACAAGGAGACGCCATCTTTCCATTTTTTTGTTGGGGAGATGACGATCACACTTGACGACGCTGCATGTCTGCTACACCTTGTGGATTCTCACACAGATCTGAGGCAGACATGATTATTATACTTATCTAATGATATGGATAGTAGTAGACTATTACTTGTGCCAACAGATACTTATTGTCATCCATAGTAAAAAATAATCTTGAAATAGTGATGGTTGTATATGAGTCTTGATGCCG